CACTGTTAAGTTAGAACAACTTTCACACAGACTTACCTGTGTTTCTACCACAGGGATATACATTGTGTCTGTTTTTGTATTTTAAGGCGGTTTGATCAGCTCTGAAAGCAGCTGTAGGTAGAGGTAAAGTGGACGACACCTCCACTGGCTGTGAGCTCTGGTGGACCACAGTCAGTTTCTCCATAAACACACTGATTACAATATGATTTTATTGTATTATTTCAAAAACAGTGAAATGTTTCTAAGGTTACATGTGAGACCCCCATGGATTTCACACATTGGATACAGATGTGAGTAAATGACACTATATAACTGCTGTTGGTTCCAGGACCAGAGACTTTCTGTCTTCAATGCCCAAAGGCTGGTCAGTGATATCAGCAGACTGCTGGGTGAATATTTATGTGCAGTACTTCTACATACATAGTTTTGTCAATGTCAGTTTAATAATGGAGATCATAACTGGCAGAAGAAGGTACAGGGAAAGAATCTTTCATATATTTCTATGTCTTGACATCAGTGACATCAGTCAGTCAGGTTTCCATCCTGGTCTTTAAAGGGATGAGAGGAGCTGGTGTGATTGCACAGAACTAAAGACAGCCCACACTCCACCTGCTCACCATGTATTCCTCCCTATAATAATATATTCCGCCTCTCCTCCACAATGCACTTGGTAACGCCTGGCTGCACATGAAAGTGTGCTGCATCTGTCATCATCAAATTTGCAAAACATTGTTGAACACGCCCATATTCACCTGGTGCCGGGAGTTTAGACACAAGTTTAGCGCTGTGCCCTCTTGCAGGAAAACAGAGCTCCTGGAGTCTTGAAAAGGACACATGGCGACTGAATGATATTCAGACTCAATAGAAACATTTTTTCCCTTTACATTTCATTATATTTCACCACTAAGGTAAGACAGTCACAAATTTCAACCTTTCAGTTATAAATTTTTAGTAGTTTATAGTTTTACCTCCATGTGCATAACTGTGTAATAACCACTAAATAACAAAATATATACATTTGACCCCAAGTGGAGAAGACCTTTTGAAAAATGTGGCAGTACTTAAAACTGTACAAAACAAGTTACAAAAAACGAGTATAAAAGAAAATATAAGAGTTAAATAGCTTCTAACTCTGCCCACCTCCCCATTCGCCACTTCTCTATCCCCAGAGAGTGAAAGATAGGAGAAAAGCTAAATTAAGTTAGGCTCAAAACTCTAAAACATATAAAAAAATGTTAGAAAATATAACTTCTACTATATGTACATAATTCTGCTGGAGCACAGGATGGAAGGGCACAGTGATGCACAACCTTATTGCCACTGCAGACGGGCCAATTAAAATGTCTGATACCTGGTTGGAAAGCTGAGAATCTCAGCTTTACACTATGTGACACACTTAGTACACATCCTGCCACTTCAGGAACAAATGCAATCAAAACAGGTGCCGGTGGATGCCATACAGTGCTTCCACTCAGGCACACAACTGAACAACTAAACAACACAGAATGACATGCAAAAATTTGAAATGAAAACCATTCATTTGCGGGGACATATGGAGACAAAATGTTGCATGACAGTAGAATTCTTTGCTCCTTCTTATCTAAGTATCCAGCTAATAGCCCAGAGTAAGATCATATGAGTCTGTTTCCCCATCTATGTTTCATCTCACCTTAACCTGAACCTAACACTTAACCCTAACTCCAAGCACTCATCCTTGGGGATGTGTAATCTGACCCCCAACCAGTTCTTTCTGATATGTACAGCTGTATCTAACTAAGCATTTTGTGAGCCGACTGCCAGTTGGCTCTTCAGTGTGACTATTTGACTATTCATCTTTTTTCTTTCCTTCTTTATTTTAATATTTGTGTAGCCTAGACTGTCAAAAATCAACTGGCATGAATTTCAGTGATGATTTTGATCCCATAAACATCACTATTTAAATGCAAAAGAGTGGCAGGAAGATATTTCTGAGCATTTACAAATCAATAAGACAGCTGCATATGATGCAAGATTTAAATTGCAACCTATTTAAATTGAGGATATATAATGTCAGGCTGCCATATGGATTTGTTGGAATAACAAGACAGATAGCACACCTGTATTTCTGTTGCTCAACAATGCTCAATTTATTTCTTCTGAGACATGGTTATAGCCTGGTTTACTGGCAAGTTTAAGGTTCTCCACAGAGTTAACCACAGCGCATGTTGTGACTGTGCATTTGTTGTGTGCCAGCTTGCACTATGAATGATTCCTCTTATTTATAATTCCTGAGGGAAATGTTTTCCCTGCTCATTTTTGTTAGCTTCCTAGTCCTGTTCAGATGGATGCATGAAATGCATGCAGAAACAGTTGGTAAATGGCTGTGCGCTGCACTTTAATGGAGATGGGTAAACAAAATGGACTCATAACATTAGGCTGTGCAAAACCACCCACACTATCATGGCTGTTAGTCTTTTCTCTTGTACAAGTAGACCATGTTTGAAAACACTTCTAATAAAGTACAAATCTCACCTTTATGTGGCTTGTCCTAGTGGGTTTTGTTTTTGTTGTCCTTGTTCTGCAGTTTCCTAAATAGATCCAACCTTAATCTACAGTATGTCCATTTATTGGACAGTATCACTGTTGAAGTGAAAATTCTCCCCCCCCACAGGGGGAAGCACTGAGCAAATTGTTGCTTGGCACACCAACATGAGGAGGAAAAGACAACAAACTAATGGTCTAGGGCTGCACACTGGTTGGGGAAAAAGAAACACAGGCTCGGCCAGAAGAGTCTCATTTGACTGACAGGTCTTTCAGCTAATGACTCGACTATTCTATTATTCCAGGGCAGCCCTAGTGATATGCCTAAACCTAACCCTAACCCTAATCCACAACTTCAACCAGTGATGGGTGGAAAGTACTGTCTGATGGGGGAACAGGCTTGAACAAAGACTAACATTAATTTATGTGACTGAGTCATGATATCCATTCAGTAACATCCTTAAGTGTTTCAAATCCTGAGTCATGGTTGTCAGAATAATGTTTGACATGGTGAGGTTAGGCATCTCTGGAGTGAGATATGTTTATTATTGGTGCTTTTTCTTTAACGAATGATTTCAGATGTCCATGTTTAGGGCTGTAGCTTAACAAGATGAGATAGGGTGAAGGGGCCAACTTGAGATCAATGGCTTCCTTGTGGAATTTCTGAGGTTAAGACAAACAAAAAACACTTTTAACCTATCTTTTAAGTGTCCTGGTGCAATATATAAAAATAACCTTTTAAAGGAAAAAACCTGATAAAATTTGGGTCTTGGATTTTCATGGTTTTCATTATTTTGATGATAGAAATGGTGAAAAAAGAAAATTCCACAGGACAAGACACACACAAGGGTTGCATAATGACCCATAACACATTCACGGGAAGTTAGCCTTGAACCAGAAGGTTTGTTAGTAAACTGTAACGTATGTCTGGTTTGGTTAATAACTTTAACTTTTCATTTAAATGTTTCCTTCAAATGATCAGTCCCACAGAATCAGACTGTCTGACTGATCTCAGCTCTTGACTTCATGGGTACAATTTCCATATTGCTGAGTTGTAAAAAAACAGAAACATCTTTTAACAGCTGGCTCTCTGGCAATCCAAAACGATGGTTTTGATGAGAATGCCATATTTTTGCTGCTGTCCTTTGTTCCTGCCTCTGTGTAAGACATATTAGAAAGATCTGATGTCTGCTTCACTGGCACAAAATAAAGATGCGTGGCCATCAGTAAGATTAAATGCTGTCCACCACAGTTTACACAGAATAGAAAAGCCTGAGTAAAAGGATCTTTTTGTCCCTGAGGCACTTTATCCAAGGAATCACACTATCCTGTCTCAAACTGATTCATCATTTATACTCTCACTCAGTTATTAGATATATTTCAACCCTAATTAAAAAGGATAAAATGAGAAAGTGGGTTATCTTTTAACACTAGAAAATGTGGAGGCAGTCTTCTGAAGTTACGGCATCTACAAATGCAATGCAAATCAAAGCAACGTTTAAAGAAAAGTAGTTGATATTTCAAGAAAACAGTAGGAGCTGCACTGTAGGATGAAGTTCTATCATGAGTAAAAAATTCCTTATTAAATTTATAAGATAAAATTGTAAAGCTCATTTACACCTACTAGTATCTTGCCATAAAAACACTGACACTCTAGATAATTCCCATATTTCACTTTCAGCCATTTTTACTGGAATTATTTACTGCCAAACAAGTAGTCCCTGTGTAGATTAACAGGGACATCGTGTCTGGAAAGAAGTGTCACCACGTACTGTACTGCACAGGGCTGAACTAGCTTTCCCCAGAGAAGTGGTGTCCTTGTCAACAACACTGATTAATTTTTTCTACTGGCACCACAGAAATCTGGTGGAAGAACAAAGGAAGAACATAACATTGAGAAGTCAAAGTGGTATTGCAGCTTCCAGTAAATAATTAGGGTGGCTGAATATAGTTGATGTTTGTTGGTAAACTTCACATAAATTCACTTCTACTATATTTTGCTTAGTCATGCAAATAGTTCAATTTGTGCAAGTTTTGAGACATGTATTCCTACTTCTGCATCAGTAAATAAAGACAGAGCATTTTTGACTCATTGGTCTGCCACAGTTTAACTGGCCCTGCTCCACTGAGGCTGTGGCTCCAACCTGGGCAATGCATTTAAAATGTCCACCCTCCTGAACCCTGAACATCCTCCTGAGACTACAGTGTAATGTTTTACAATATAATGTTTTACCGGTCATTATTTATTCCTTTAAATTTTCACAGATGTATAGTACAAAATGACCTCATGTTCTACACACTGTATTCAGCCTGCGTTTGACTGCTGTTGGTTATAAATGCATGCCCAGAGCGCCACACATTTCAGTAGCAATGCTGCTTTCATATGGTTTTGTGTTAGGCAGATGTTAAATGCAGCCTCTTTGTGACTTGTACGAGTCATCCTCAGGGGGCCCTCCCCTCTGCAAACAGACCTCTGCTACAAACCCACTGAGCTCTCCTTACATGAGTAGTGCATAACAGCTTGAGTCGGCGAGCATTCTAGGACAGATCATGAGGAATAAGTTCATTTTTGGAGATACGTTTTTAATTAAATGTGTACTGAGGTAAATAAATAATCAAGAGCAAGAAGTCTCCTCAACAACAGTTCAACTGAATGGATATACAGTACACATTTTGTGCAAAAACATGGATTCAAAAGACACTGTAAGCTGATAACTTCAAGGCACACACATACTGTTTAACCATAACATTATTTTTGCTGAGCAAAAAAGAAACAGTTGGTCTTAATGGGTTAAACGTACAGGTGATGGCAGAAATGCTTTTTTGCTGCTCACTCTGACACCCACCACTGAACACAGCTAGTACTACTAACACGACCCCTTAATTGTGATAATGTATTAAACCGAAAAAGCAGGTGAAAGCACTATGGCCTGCCACTTTCTGTGAATGTTTAATGGGTGTGACCTTTAAATTTCCTTTTGAAGCAGAGAGAAATTCCATTTGCATAAAAATCTGTCATTTTCTTAGAGCAAGAATCTAATAATTTGCATCTCTATAGAGTGCAGTTAAAGAAATGTGCCGCATTACAGTGATGACTTGATTAAAATCAGTCACAGGTAAAGTGTGACGGTTGACTATATGGTTTCCAGAAAACTATGCCCTCTACTGGTGATTGTGACTGATTTGTGTCTGTCTCTTTTCTACTTTTCTCATACAGAATTTCTCCAGCTGGTTTCAGGACTCCTGTGATGCACTGGAGGAGAGTGTGAATTCTGCATCTACTATGGTTACAGTATACAGTTACTTCAAAATCATTCATTGTTACTGAAAATCAAAATGAAACCCAGTCTTAATACTTAGAAATAAAAGCAAAAACAATAACCAGAAACCAATAACTTATAATTCCAGTATTGTTATATAAAAGACATCATCCAGCCAGTTGTACAAATTACATTTCTTGAAGACACATGGGTTTCAAATAATATTAACACTGTACAGTGTCCAGTAAATTGTGGGTAGTGGGTAGTAAAAATGCTCCTGATGCTCTCCAAATTTATCATGTGCAACCCAAGTCTGCATCCTGAACATTATTCTTGTAGTAGACTGTGCTATTGTTCCCCAGGGGGCAGTCTCGGAAGCCAATGCCCCCATTAGGGGTGTAAATAGGTTGAATGCGGAACTCTCCCTTGAGAAGCTGCTCATTGTTGAGTGAAACTATATGGAAGCTGGTCTCAGTCATTTCCAGGATGGAATTATCTTTCTTGGTGCCTGCCTCGCAATAGTCATCTTTTCTCCGACCCCGGTTGTATTTCCACTTGGTGGAGAACGTGGAGCTCTTCTTGTGCATGTGCCAGCAAAAGATGCTGAGGAAAACAACCAGCACCACAATCACGGCCCCACCGATCAACCCTGCCAGCAAGAAAGGTGAGCTAGGTTCTTGTTGTGTGGCTTGCTCGGGCCCTGATGGTCCTTTGTTTTTATCAGGGCTGAACAAGGCTGGTGTCGTCACAGCTTCAGTGCACACAGTATCGTCCTTGGGCCGGTAATTATTGAATGCATCCAAGGGAATGACACAGATCCGATAGGTAGATTTTGGCTCAAGGTCAGCCAGTCGGATCCCTCGGTGATCCCCACCCACCATCCTCTCCCTGACAGTGTCCCCCATCAGACTGGGGTCCATCCTGGCCCAGGTCACCTTGTAGGCGGTGACTGGTAAGGTGGAGACCCACCTGATGTGAATAGCTGAGTCATTCAGTATGGCAAATGTGACCTGCAGGGTCTCCCTCCGGGGATCCAGAGGTTGCTTAGTCCTCAACCCTCCTTCTCTGGTTGTATAGATAGGGTAGAGTGTGGGCATTGTAGGGAAGGGCTGCCTGGTGGAGGAGGTAACATACTGAGTGACTAAAGGGGAGCCTGTGGAAGATGACAAAGATGGGACCAGAGCAGAGTTAGCTGCTGAGGTGGACAGGGGTGCTGTCACTGTGCTCTGTGGGCATTGGACCAGCTCAGCACTCAGCTCCCTGATCACCATGCCCCGGAACTTTTCAGGTTTATGGCACATGAACCCGCGTACATTGAGGGAGGCTGGCAAAGACTTAAGCCATGACACCACCCATTTGATAGTGCAGTCGCACAGCCAAAGGTTGTTCCGAACAGTGAGCTGTCTCAGGCTGATGAGTCCATCAAAGACCCCCTCCGTCAATGACTGCAACTGATTGTTTGAAATATCAAGCTTCTGCAACTTTTGAAGCCCTGCAAATGCCCTGACAGGGATCTGGTTTATTTGATTTTCCTGAAAGTTTAACTTGACAAGCACCTCCCCTGGGAGGAATGGGGGAGGGTATGTGAGAGAGTTCCGGGCTAGGGACAGCTCCCTCAGGGTGACCAGGTCCTGAAAGGTACCTGGTGCAATCCCTTCATCTGTCAACAAGTTTCCATCCAACAGGAGGCGCTCTAGTCGGGTGACATTCCTAAATGCTTCTTCTGCGATAACCGCAATACGGTTCTCATCCAGTCGCAGCTCTTTTAGATCATCTGGAAGACCAATAGGCACACTGCTCAGGTGGTTTTTGGTAAGAAAGAGCATCTTCAGGCTCACTGCCTCACGAAAGGCCCCTTCCTCCACCCCTACTGTGGAAATAGAGTTATCATCCAAATGCAGCTCCTCCAGCCAAAGAAGCTGAGCTAGAGCTGCTCTGGAGATGGTCTGAATGTTGTTCTCTTGCAGATGGAGAACCCTCACATTTTTGGGCAGGTTAATGGGGAATTCATCCAGCTGGTTACCATAAAGAAACACAGTTTCCACAGAAGCCACATGGTGGAGCTCCAAGGGAAATCCAGCGTTATTGATTTGGTTGTTGTGGAGGTAGAGGGTCTTATAACCCTCACCAATTCCTAGAGGCACTGAGGTCAGGCTTCGCTCGTTGCAGTAAATAAAGGTACGATCACAGCGGCACTCCTCAGGACAGCCAGAAGCCTGGGAGAACTGAAGGTGAAGGCCTAATAGTATTGGTATCCATGGCGTTATGAAGGAGGCCCAGTCCTTATTCCACAAACGCCACTGTATCTCCATTTCAACCAATCAGAAAAAAATATCAAAACCAAATCATTGGAAAAAATGATGAGCAATTAGGATTTCAAAATTCCAATAGAACACTCATTAGATTTTGACTGTTGACTTAATAACACCACTGTGTCTGCCTGGTGCTGAAGAAGGTCTTGAGTAATCCCTTGATAACACGAAAGCAACGGTCTCATTAAACAGTATGATTCCTTCACCAGCCACTGTCCATAATCAAGCCGGGAGACACTAGTAAAATTCATCACATTTTCACCCTCCTCTCTCCTCTTGTACCACCGGGTAGAGCTCTCTTCACAACACTCAACACTGCCAGAGCCATGTGCAACATACTGACGGGCTACCGTCTTCCTTTTTTCCTCTCCCTTTCATGTCACACACTGCTGGTTCCAGAATGATAAAGCTTCTCTTGGACTTGACATTTGGACCCAGAAACCTGTTGAAAAATAAGATTATTGCAAAAATCAGTTTTATATTTTTCTCAAAACGTGACCTTTCCACTGAAGAGCACAGGATTTTTTTTCCCCCTTCTATCCCACAAATGCAAAGTGAAGCATTGTAAAATTGGAGAGCAGAGCAGTGTGCATACAAATGACTTACAGATCTGTTACACATTCCTCAGACACACAGCCAGAAGAAAAGGAAAAGGATATTTGAAAAGATACTGAGGGCAAAGGTGTGATAAATTTATGGGAATAGTTTAAAATCTCTATGTGCAGATTACTAAAGTCAGCCCTAATCTAAAATGAAAACACACTAAGCGGATTCAAACAATTTTTTCCTTTTGCTGTTGATATGAACGTGGAAAAAAATGATAAAAAGAACATTTTAAAAAACTGTCAAATTCAAACGATTAAAACGTGGCAGCCAAAAGCATTTTGCAAGCAATGAGGTGTGAAGTCAGCTAGCGAACAAGATGACTAGCTTATTGATGAACACCATGAATCTGTTACCCAGTCCAGCCCTCAAGGATAGTGCACGGCCCTGTGGCACTAGTGAAGAATTATCTTCCAAGGGAATGAACAAGAGGTTAAAGAGGAGATGTCAGTCAAATATTACCAGACAAGTACCTACAAGGCCAAGTATTTGCTCTTCATTTTTGCTAAATTCAACTTTGTTTTTCTCTCTACCCTTGATTCATTAAGTGTAGCCGTGCTGGTGAAGTGGCAGAGTGCAGGAGTGCTGGATGGTGATGAACGTAAGCTGTCAGCAGAGATAAGATGAGACAAATTCCTTGCACAGAGACAAAACTAAGATTGATGTGGGCTTCTTGGCATGAGGAGGTGCTATTGTGAGAACAAGGTCATAAGATTTAAATAAAGTGGAGCAATTTTCTTGTCCACAGCCTTGGTATGAGTTGGCACATAAACAAAAGCGTCATTATTTTGCCAAATTCAACATAAATTTCAATAATAAAACATTTTATAGTGCTGCACTTAGGGGTTTACAATTCAGTACAGCCCCTGTAAAGGAGGTGATGATAATGTATTAGTGGTTGTTAGCTGGTGGCAGTGATGATTAATAAAATGGCACCAGGCAGCAGCAGAAGCCAGTTGACAGAGTGCATTGAATTGTGGCCAAGGCAGTTCAATAGTTATGTAATATTCCTTTGGCAACAAAATAAGGCATCAAGCTGAGTCCAAACCTCACCATGGTATTATCACCAGGGTCTTCAAGGGGCATCACTACACTCAGTTGGCAGTTTTTTAGCTAAAAACTAAGTCAGTCTAATCCAACCGAATCTTCCATGCAGGTGATAATGACAGCTGTTGATTCAACTGTATGATCATTTTGGAGGCTGCTGTCTGTGCTGTTGCTGAACTATGTAGACGAGTGTTTCTACAGTCAGAAGTTTACCTACACTGAGGTTGAAGTCATTAAAACTTATTTTCTAACCACTTCACAGATGACAAACTCTCATTTTGGCAAGTCGGTTAGGACATGACAGAAATAATTTGTCCAGCAGTTGTTTACAGTTGTTCACTATATCACAATTCCAGTGGGTCAGAGGTTTACATACACTGAGTTGACTGTGCCTTTAAACAGTTCAGAAAATGATGTCATGGCTTTAGAAGTTTCTGATAACTGGCATCATTTCAGTCAACAGGAGGTGCACCTGTGGATAGATTTTAAGGCCTACCTTCAAACTCAGTACTGCTTTGTTTGACATAATGGGAAAATCAAAAGAAATCAGCCTCAGGAAAAACTGTGGACCTCCACAAGTCTGGTTCATCCTTGGGAGCAAATTCCAACCATCTGAAGGTTTCACATTCATCTGTACAAACAATACTACACAAGTATAGCCACCATGGGACAACACAGCCATCGTACCACTCAGGAAGGAGACACATTCTCTCCTGGAGATGAACGCACTTTGGTCCAAACAGTACAAATCAATCCCAGAACAACAACAAAGGACCTTGTGAAGACACTGAAAGAAACAGGTACCAAAGTATCTATATCCACAGTAAAACCTATAACAATATAACCTGAAAGGCTGCTCAGCGAGGAAGAAGCCACTGCTCCAAGACTCCATAAAGAAGTCAGACTACGGTTTGCAGCTACACATGGGGACAAAGATCTGACTTTTTGGTGAAATGTCCAATGATCTGATCAAACAAAAAATGAACTATTTGGCCACAATGACCGCTGTTATGTCTGGAGGAAAAAAGGGGGAGGTTTGCAAGCCAAAGAATAACATCCCAACTGTGAAGCACAGGGGTGGCAGCATCATGTTGTGGAAGGGCTTTGCTGCAGGAGGGACTGGGATGCTTCACAAGTATATAGCGTCAGGAGGAAGGAAGATTATGTGGATATATTGAAGCAACATCTTCCTTCCTTCGGCCGAAGGGAGTTAAAGCTTGGTCACAAATGGCTCTTCCAAATGGACAATGACCCCAGGCAAACTTCCAAAGTTGTGGCAAAATGGCTTCAGGACAACAAAGTCAAGGTATTGGAGTGGCCACTACAAAGCCCTGAGCTCAGTCCACTAGAACATTTGTGGACAGAACTGAAAAAGTGTGTGTGAGTAAGGAGGCCTCCAAACCTGACTCAGCTCCACCAGTTCAGGAGGAATGGGGTAAATCTCCATCAATTTACTGTAAGAAGCTTGTGGAAGGCTTCCTGAAATGTTTGACCCAAGTTAACCAATTTAAAGGCAACACTACCAAATACTAATACAGTGTATGTAAACATCTGACCCACTGGGAATGTGACGAAATAAAAGCTGATTTTTTTTTCCTACTATAATTCTGACATTTCACATTATCAAAATAATGATTCCAACTGACCTAAGACAGGGAGTGTTTACAGGATTAAATGACAGGAGTTGTGATAAACTGAGTTTTTGACTAAGGTGTATGGAAACGTCTGACTTCTACTGCATTATTTCCTCCATTATATTTATATCAAGGAGGCGATGCTAAATAATAGAATCAGCTCTGTACAACGCGGTGCAAATCAACAACAGCATATGCAGCTTCCAAAATAATCACGCAGCTGAATCAACAGCTCTCTAAACAGTCTGAACAAAAACTGAAAATTGTCAACTCCCCATGAAAGAGGACTTATTGTAGGACTGCTGGATCAGACTGACTTAGTTTAGTAACTGCCAACTAGGTGTGTGTATTCATGTGCTCCTGCAAAAAGTAGCCTACATACAGTACAGAAGGTGGCCGTCGTTGTTTAGCAGCACTGTCCCAGATTGGAGAACAAACGGGTAGTTCATTTGGTTTGCGCCACAAAAGCGAGGCCACCCATTTAAATTCCACCTAACAGAAATTAAGAGCATGATGATATTAATAAAATGTGTTTACTGGCCTATAAAACTATAACACTGGGGCATTGGTACAGTGTCCTCGTTTATTCTGGTTTTAAGTGACAGTTATTTTGAATGGAGGAAGTTCGTTGTATAAGCTAAAAGAAATTCTAGGATATTTAATGGTATTTAAGGGTGAAAACAGAAATGATCACCAAATGACAGTCTATTCATTTTGCGTTTTTCTTACCTCGAGGAAAGCAGAAAGACCCTGGTGCTGCACGTCCAGCTTGTCTGTTCGTCTCTGTGCACAGCGCTGCGCTCAGACCGGGCACAAAGTCCGCATCCTGCTCGCTGCGCCCGCTCCTCGCTCCTCACCAGTGATGGAGAATCGGGACATTATGCTGAAAGTCCGAGGTTTTGATTGAAGCAGCCAGAAAGACTTATCAGCTGTGTGCTCCACATCTTCCCCCCTCTCCTCCTCAAACACACCGCGACAGCCCGAGACTCCCGGCCGGCCGCGCAGCTCGGGAGCCGCCGATGAAGTTCCTCCGCTGCCTTCACTCGAGGAAAAGGGGACATGAAGCAGAGATGAGAGGAGAGTTAGAGCTCCGCCGCCCCACTCCACACAGCCAACCGGGATATGAAGTCCATAGTCTGGGTAAACAGTTTCAGAAGCTGCTTGGTCCCTGCTGGAGCCCGGCGCTCAATTGTTGCCAGCTCTCTCTCTCTCTCTCTCTCTCTCTGTCTGTCTCTCTCTGTCTCTCTCTCTCTCTCTGTCTATCTCTCTCTCTCTCTCAGCGAAGGTGTACGTTTATATGTGTTTAGACCGTATTAAAACCTAAAGTACTTTTTGGCCCACTAGAATTAAATACTGAGTTTAGCTTGGGGAGCTCTGGAAAAGAGAAAAATAGGAAGGAAGCGTTTGGCAACACAACACTGACATTTTCCAGCCGTCCCCACTAGTCAGTCCCCTGTTCATTTCCTTCCTCATGCCCATCATCACTTTTCATATGCTTGTGTTCAGAGCTAACAGCATGAACGCACGGAAGGTACACATGGTAATTACAAGACAGCAGGTCTCACTATGGGCTCCGACACATGCTTCCCCAACCCAGTCCCACAAACCACCAGAATGGTCTGCCATTTTTGATTAAACACAAAGCTGTTACAATGGACAATGTAATTATAGCTGAAAGGTACTAAATAAAAATTTGCGACTCTTCTAAGACAGTGTCTTGGCTTCAAAACAATTTTGTGACAGGGATATAAGTCTAATTTGCTAGAAAAATGGGTCTACAGAAAAATCCGAAATATCTTGGCAGGAGTGGTATTAAGGGTTTTGACTTTTGTTCCTCTTGTGTGGTTACATACCAAAAGATGGCCATTCTATGCCCAGTACCCACAACAACAGCATTTTGTTTTCTCCAGATGACTTTGGTTTTTGAGGGCTTCCCTGTGTAAGACATTGTTTTAGATCATTTTTTATTGACAGAGGAAACTAAATGATATAAGGACTACAGAGCAGTATATATATATATTCTTTTTGTTGATATTTTTGTGGGTTTGTTTTTTTTTTCTGTAGTTTTGTCTGTGTTTTACATGTTGGTTTTTACTTTATTTGTTCCTTTGTGTTGTTGTTTTGGGTGTGTATATGTGTACATGCTAAAATGTACTGTGTCTGTGATTAAAAGTGATTTTATTATTTTGAAAATTCAGTTGCTTATATTATCTGTTCTCTTTCCCCATCTTTACCAGTTGGTACTGACAAATCTCTAGTGAGTAGGCCTACGTCATACAGTGAAGACATGTGGTCATATCCATCCATGTACATTACAGGACATTACTGTGAGACTGTGATGAGTTAGTTTGCGAAAAGTCATCAGCAGCGTAGGTTCATTAGACTTCATGTTCATTTTCCAGACTTTTATATCAAGAATGACATTTTATTTCAGAACTGCCTTGCATGTCCCCAGCTTCTACAGCACATGAAAACATGAAAACAGCTTTCAGTTTGTGTGCATTGTATATTTCCTTTGGCAAACAGACACTGTTGCACTTTGATACAGTGTATTCCAGGTAATGGTCTCTGCATGTAGGCGGATTCTTTACAGCTTATATGGACTCAAACGTTCAACAGGATGATGAAACAAAACTGAGATGCCTGAATGGCTTTGACACTGTGTTGTCCGATTTAAAAGAACATTTGACCCAGTAAGACCCAGTGAGACTCAGTGAGACATTCAGACAGACAGAAACATCTACAGACAAAACACGCTGTGCACTCTACACCAAGCTGAACCTATGGATAATGCTCCAACACACTGCTATTCAAATGACTAGTAACCTTCAACCGTGCTCTCAGTAGCACTCAGGCACACACACACACACACAAACCTACACAGTCTGTGGTTTATTCTTAACCTCCGCTCTCTCCACAATTCTCTGGCTTTGAATGCTTGCTGCCAAACATCACATCTGCTGCTGCCTGTTGCCACTCCAATCTATTAGATTAAAATTCAGGCTAAATCTGTTTGCAGCTTATCACAGTGCATGTAGAGGTGGTAGCTAGCATGACGATGTTGGTTTAGCGCTGCTTGTTAGTGCCATGTCACTGTAATCTGGCTGCTTATGTGTGTAAACTTGCAGCGACCTGGACAGCTGCTCTGAGGGTTTAGTGCATGGCTGGGGACTAATGGATTACCTGGAAATGTGACCATATTACAAGGATCTGCTGTGTTTACTAACTAGGAGAACTGTACTTTGTTTAGTTATAAGAGACATTCCAACTAATACATTTACGAATACTTCTTTCATGACCATTTTGGATGTTGGACAGAAAAACAGTTAAAGAGCAGATCAATCATTTTCATAGTGAAGTGATATAAAACTGTGGATTAAGTGGCTTTCCACTGTATGAGCATTTGAACACCAGTAGTGGCACCAGCTAGTATTAAAGGGCCCCAGTGTAAGTTTTTTTTTTTTTTTACAAGACCTTCAGACATACATATGACCATGCAAACACACACACACACACACACACACAGATGCTCTGCACTTGCCCTCAGCTGTTAACAGAGTGCTACAATACAATGATGCAGCACAGAGATGGAAACATGTATAAACTAGAATTATATAGACTATTAAAAGAAGTCCCTACAGGGCTGGAGGAGCAGTGTTGGCAAGAAAAAACCCACAAACAACACTATAAAAATACTATTGTTCCTTCTTATCTTTGCCACACAACTATCAAAACAATATTTCACACACACATACACATCACATACACATGGACTTTAGTCAAACAACAAAGACATTTTAAGTTTCAGTGACACCTCATTCCCTGGTCATACAACCTACTCACCTACTCTATATCCACACACACACACACAAACACACAAACACACACACACACACATTGGAAATGTAATGGTGATGATGATTACAACGATTTTGCAAGATTGCATAAAAAATATCTAAAAAAATCCTGGTTGCAGTCCGATTGTACGGTGGAGGCCTGCTGACTCACAGCATTCAAAGTAAATGGAGAGAGAGAGAGGGAGAGAGAGAAAGAATACTATGCAATCATCCGTCTGCACTGCTGTCATGTTTAGCTACAGCCATTTGTGGACACAGAAGAGAGGGCAAAAAATAAACTAAAATAAAATAATAAAATAAAACAACCCAAAGCATTACACTAGTTTGAAAGTGCACATTTATTCTAAATCTTTGTCAAAATGTGACTCAGCTTCACGACCAAAGAGTTTACATTTCTCTGACATCTGACAAACTGTCCAAAGATCACACTGAACAGAGGCCTTTATTCTTCATGAGGAACACTAGTCTGTGGAGGAACTTGGCATTAAAGGTATGAGGAAATAATAAACCAAACAGAAGTGAACAGACCACTAGAATCACAAAAGAACTGAACTGCATGGAAAACAAACTCTAAGAGGCAGCATACAGAAGCCACAAATAAGCTCAGATCTGACTGAGCACAACACTAGAGGAAGCAAAACTACAGTCAAGCCAGGGAGCTAATCACAACATAAAGAACACTAAGTGGACAAAAACAATCATAAACCAGGAGTCCATGTAAGAGGACGAAGAGGTGAGGAAAAGATGATGGCAAACAAACTGGCAATGTACTGAGACAAGTGAGGTGAATACAGAGGCAGGTCAGGAGGGACACGGAGCCACAGGTGAATGGAAATAAGGTCAGTCAGTGGGCAGAGAAAAGCTGGGGCAGGTCGGGGTGGCATGTCACAGGAAATGGCTACAAAATAAGTGTTCAAAACAGGAAGTCTCTGGGGATTATGATGTTGTCAAGTCTAAAGTAACCCAGATGTTGTCTCCAGAGTTATCTCAGCCTTGGCTTAAAAAATATACATAACAAATAGGCTGTGAAAAACCACGGTCTGAAAAAGAGTTCTTCAAATATACTGGAACAAATATGTATAAATTACATATGGTGGATATTTCAAAGGAAGCCACAGGAAGTGACCTCTTCCATGTGTCTTGCACATGATGGTGAAGGACTTTGGACTAGTGAGGGCCTGAGGCACATCACTGATGTAGTCCAGAGGATTTATCTTGGTATCTAGATCTCGATTTACCACCAGAAAAGGCTTTGAAACAGCCTCAGGGAGATAAAACTGTGAAGAATAAATTTCCAGATATAAAAATCACTGCAGTTAATAAAAAAAAAAATAATAAAAAAAAAGCTGGCCTTTTCATTCTGGACCTGACAGCAGCTGACACAACAATCTGCAAGGCGTACTTACCAGGTTTTGTTAACCTTTTAGGCCAACATGAAGAAGATGTCCTAAAATACTCAGTAGAATGCAACATCTATAGTTCCATGATAACTCAGCAAAATGTATTATCAGGAGATTTTACAAATGTACAAATTTTACTTTTCTGACTTCACTGACAGGATAAATAATATTAAACCAGACATATGCTATGAGAAAAGACCACATGATACATCATCTGAAAACACTGAATATCAAATATTAAGTTCAAGACTATCCACTCATAATAAATGACTGCATGAGTCATTTATCACCGGACTCATCTACAGGCATTAAACCCAAGACAAATTTTGATAAGTGCCATTATCAGTGACTATCACCAACACCATCTTCCCATATGTCCCATTCTTCAGGGTATGCAGTGTATGGAATGTCAGGAAACTAATAATAACAATAATCATAGAATAAATAAGTAAATAAAACAAAATAACCTGCAATTTTTTAAGATATAAATACCGTACAGCTAGTGGTCCAAAGCCTCACCTGAGATGTTTAGGGGGAGCTCTAAAAAAGTGTTCACTTTTGTGCTATAGGTTATATTTTTTTTCTGGTCATTAAGGTTCCTGAAATATAAAATAATAGTATAAATATGCCAATGCTGTGTCTATTCTCTTATTAAATTCCCTTTTCTGAACATCTGTCTCCACTATTTAACACATTTGTCTGTCTATTCCTGTTGTGGCCATCCAGCTGTGGTGGTGCTGCACTCAAGTTACTACATTTACGCAGTCACCTGAACTCCTCATCATTGAACGGCCCAGTATTTAAATGAAGTTGTTAATTAAGGATTCACACTGTTTTTATTAGGTATTTCAGGTGGTTTATGGATAGCCAGCATGTCACAACGAAAACAGCCCTTCCTGCTCGGACAGTTTGGATTCACTGAACAAACAAAGAAAACAAGTGTTGACATGGGCATGGACTTCAGCTTGCTCGGTACCGCTGACGGGTCTTGCTGGTAGCTCCACAGAGGGAGATGCCTTGGCACCAGACAGCACTGCCTGGGCCCAAACCTGGTGATGCAACATTGCCTTTCATCTGCACAAGGAAGCAACTGAGTGTGTGGAAAACAGGAATACAAGGCAGCAGAGAAGGACAGAGGGAGAGAGAGGGAGCTGCGAGCCACAGGCTGATGTTTTATTTCACTGTGGTTAAAAACAAATAAGCTAAATAATGAGGCATTGTTCTTAAAGGGCTGTGTATGAGGAGCAGAAAGATGTTACCTGTGTCCCTCTGATTTGTGATTTAGTTTTTGTTTGCTCTGATTAGTCTATTAATCTTCCTGCGTGACTTTTACGTTGTTGTTATTGTGTCTATATGAAATGTTTCTGATAGTATTAACTGACTACAGTAGTAATAGTAGAATGTTTTTAACGTTAACCGAGCTAGTTTTAACTAGTTTATATGTATAATTATATAGTCTATTAATCTTCCTGCGTGACTTTTACGTTGTTGTTATTGTGTCTATATGAAATGTTTCTGATAGTATTAACTGACTACAGTAGTAATAGTAGAATGTTTTTAATGTTAACCCTGTTATTGACTGTGCTGCCATGCACTTATTCATATGTGCATTCATGTGGCTT